CAATGGTTCACCCTTCATCAGAATCTCAAACTTGGGCAAGAGATACTTAGGTTTATTGGTGATTTTATCACTGTTGCTGTCTTTCATCACAGCCTAACTTACTCTGACTCCATACTTCAAATGCTTTTGACTGCAAGTTCCCTCAGTCCTAGACAAACTGGAAAATGATCAACCATTATTAGTTTGTAGACCATAATGTATAGAGGGCACTGTTAAGGAATATTTAATTCAATTCTCACGTATGAAATAAAAAAGAGCTATGTGGCCCTTACATAGTACAAATGCAGGAATAGGTGTTATCTTTATAGATCAATCAAGAAATCTTATAGTCTGCTAGCTTTTGTGAATCAGGGCCAACTTCAACAGACTTGTACTAGTGTTTTGCCATTAATGGAAAGAACATAAGACTCCAAAAAGTTCATGGCAGATAGATTTTGCCAGAAATTTCTTCTAAATGTAAATTAGGAAAGATCCAGGCTTTCCTAACACCACACCAGTGGAGGTGTGGTTTTAAAGTTACAGGTGAGGAAGCTGTTGGCTGAGTGGGCCTTGATTCACAAAGCTAGCAGATGGCATGATTTTTTTGGTGATCTCTAAAGGTATAACCTACTCCTGCATTTGTATTATCCCATATGATTGTTGGATGGGGGCAGAGTCAGGTACACTACCCTGAAACTCTTGAAAGAAGGATAGAATAAAATATAATAAGAATTCAGGGTATGGTTACACTATGAAAATGAATTGAGAGATGGATTGGGGGTTTTGAAGTCTGTTTAAAGTCACATGGTAGCCACGTGGTCTTTGAGTTGATGAGTGAGTCCTAGTTGCATATGAGGCATTTTCCTGCACCCACCCACCCCTGTGCTGGCTGCCTCTCACAACCATCACTTCTGTTGCTATGGTCTTATTTTTAGTATTTTTAAAAAATATTTATTTCAAGCTGGGATAGCACTAATTCAGTATTACAGATATAAAAACCCCCAAAACAGATCAGATTAAAAGATTTCCCTGCAGCCCAACACACATGCATGGACACATGTATGCCAATGCATGTGCATGCATGTGCACGCACGTGTGCATGTGCATGTGCATGCGCGCGCACACACACACACACACACACACACACACACACACACACAGAGAACGAGGCTGCAGAAGGTGAGGGAGCAATGAAACTAGCAAACCAGACTGGCAAGAGGGAAGGAACACCAATGAATTGTGAAGAGAACTTGACCAGAGAAACTGACAAGCTCAGCAAGTTCTAGGTTTGTGAAGAAAGGAGCATTGACCCCACCCAACTTTTCTGTTTCTTCTGACTCTGTTTTCTGATTGTTTTTTTTTAAAAAAACTCTAAGCTATACTCTGTGTGTGCCTTTTGGCACAAGCCAATCCTGTTCTTCTCTTTACTAGATGAGTTGTGCCTTTATAATATGGATAGGTTTAGCTCACTGGTATAACAGTGTGAGATTTCTACTTTCTCAAAGGAAGCATTCTTTTAAGTCTTAAAAATATTAAAAAATACCCAACTCATTTTGGTGTGTTTGAATTGGAGGGATTCACCCTCTTATAGTTTCATCCTTTCACCCCATGTTTTCTCTTTGGAGCTCAAATTTGTATGCATAATGTCATAGTTTAGAGCAGAAATTAATAAAACATTAAAGCTGAGATGGCATGTAAACAAATCTGTTGGACTTCCTATCTAATGCCAATAAGGATGATAATAATACAGTAACAGTATGTCATGCAATACCTGATATTCTCTGGGTGGTCAACCAAGTCCGTGACTAGAATATCTGTCTGACTACCAAATGCACACGTCATCTCCCAATCTCTGAAACATCTACAGCAGCTCCAACAAATATATCACAAACTATTTGAGGGCAAAATCCAGTGCAATCGAGGCAAAATGAGATTGTTAGAACATCCGCACCTATGCGAGAACTGATAAGTGGGATTTAAACTTGAGAATGTAATGAGAGTTGACACCTATTTGTGACATGACTGTATCATAGATTGCCTGAAGCATGATAGCATCACCATTCCTACCAGGCACAGATGTATTTGCTGAAGGTGAAAATGTCATTTAAACAGTTGATACCTTTCAAATAGTCTCCAGCTTGATGCCATATCCTGTTCTCCCCTTCTCGGAATACATAACTGCAGTTTAATGTACTACTGAAATGAAGAAGGCTTTATGATTTGTTATGTTATGGTAGATTTTGCATCTTTATTTTTATCCTTGGTCAGTGGTAAAAGAATTTGATTTCTGCTGGCAATGACTCCTAATCAAATATTGCGACAAGACCCTGGACACAAATGTCATATCCTGTTGAATAAACTCAGTGGATTGAAATGCCTGATTGGAAAGCCAAGCATTGGGGGTTTGATTCTCCACTGTGCTTCCTTGGAGAAGACTGACTTTAAGCAAGGTGCACAGTCCTCAAGCACATTCAGAAGGAGGGGTTGGTAAACCACTTCTGAGTACTTTATACTTGGAAAACTTTGAAAAAACCCTGTAAAGTGCCACTCTAAGTTGAAATTGACTTGATGGCACATAGTTATTATAATTACAGACTTGACATACTGCCTCTCATTTTCTCTATTACAAAAGTTCAGAGTGAAATGGAATCAAGGCAATTGGTTGTTTCAACCTCTTCTTCCCTGCCCATTGGTATTTGCACAAATGAAAGGTGATAAAACAGCCACGTTCAGCTATCTGAAGGATTTTCACAGGGAAGATGGAGCAAACTTGTCTTTTCCTACTGCAAAGACTAGTAATCAGCTCATTGGATTCAAATAAAGCAAAGCAAAAGCAAAGCGTGCTGCTTATATACTGCCCCATAGTGCTTCAAGCACTCTCTGGGCGGTTTACAAGTTAGTTATGCAGGATACACATTGCCCCTCCCCAGCAAGCTGGGTACTCTGGGAAGGATAGAAGGTTGAGTCAACCTTGAGCCGGCTACCTGGGAATGAACCCCAGATCGTGAGCACAGTTTTAGCTGCAGTACAGCTGTTTAACCACTGTGCCACGAGGCTCTTGAAAAGGAAACAAATTCTGTCTCAACATTAGAAAGAAAGTCCTGATGGTAAGAACTGTTTGACAAAGGGATAAACCACCTCTGAAGGTGGCAGATACTTCTTTGCTAGGAAACTTTTGAAAAAGAAGCTAGATGGTTATATAAAGGTGTTTGGTGGCGCTGCAGGCTAAACCGCAGAAGCCTGTGCTGCAGGGTCAGAAGACCAAGCAGTCGTGAGATCGAATCCACGTGACGGAGGGAGCTCCCGTCGCTTGTCCCAGCTCCCGCCAACCTAGCGGATCGAAAGCATGCAAATGCAAGTAGATAAATAGAGGCCACCTCGGTGGGAAGGTAACAGCGTTCCGTGTCTCAGTTGCACTGGCCATGTGACCACAGAAGATTGTCTTTGGACAAAACGCTGGCTCTATGGCTTGGAAATGGGGATGAGCACTGCCCCCTAGAGTCGAACACGACTGGACAAAAATTGTCAAGGGGAACCTTTACCTTACTTATTGGCAGGGAGTTGGACTAGGTGTTATCTGGGGTATCTTCCAACACTACAATCTCATGATCTTATAATATATAGTGTCAGTTTCTGGCACTGATGGAGCAGTTGGTCCTGAAAAAGCTGTATAGACCCATACAATCTGGAAACAACCCTGGAAAATACAGACCTGCACTCCTTTCAACCCTTAAATTCACATCAGTGGATGTCCCCATGAGTAAAAAAAAAAGTTTATATTTGTGTTGCTCCAAAAGGATTCTCTCATCTTCAGCCCTCTGTCTGAACAATACAAAACTGAGATGGCGTTTTGTGTATTTGGGAATGGCCTGAAATGATATCGCTATAAGTGTCAGCAATACTCCTAGTTATTGGTGAGAAGAGGCCCTTGCTGGTTTTATTTTGGAGGACTGTGGGTTAGAAAAACACAGCACAGACTTATAACCAGGCATGTGGTTAATGAAACAGCCCAACGTCTTATTCTTCTCCACCTTTATGTCAAACAGTATTTATCTCATGGGAACATGCACATATATTTGCACATCTAGAAGGCACTGCAGTTCCCTTCAGGCTTAAAGCTATCCTTTCACCAGAGCTTGGGAAGCTAATTTTAAAACAAGACGACGACAATGATTTCTTAGTACAAATATTAGTTATAATTAAATACTTGCAACATGTCCTTACACTACCATTTTCAGAAGGAACTAAAATGATTAGTTCTAATAATTAGTTCAGTCTCAATTGGAGATGGGCATGAACTACTAAACTAGCAGTTTGTGCCAGTTTGGTTTTTTGGCCGAACGGGTGTTCAGTGCTCCTCTATACGGACTCTTCCAGTGGGTGCCCACTCAGAGACAGCACACAGAGGAGGCAGGGCAGGGAAGCTGGGGTGCTGCCTGTGAGTGAGCAACTGCTGGGGAGGTGGGGCTGGGAAGTGCCAAACGTCTGTTTGGTCGAAAAATGAAGTGGCACAAACCATCAGTTTGATGGTTCATGGCCATCTCTAGTTTGAATTAATTAGTTTAATTTACCGTATTTGCCGGCGTACAAGATGACTTTTTGGCCCTGAAAAACATGCCTCCAAGTGTGGGGGGTCATCTTATACTCTGGGTGCACTTCCAGCAAACCCTCCCTCTCTCCCAGCGAAGTCACTTACCTGGTAGTAAGACTGAGTAGACCTAGCTCGCTCTTCCTTGGTAGCCTGGGAACAGCCTGACTCTAGCACTGAACAGCTGACTGTCAGGAACCAGCAGAGAGGCAGCAGCCATTTTGAGATGACCCCATGGCTGCTGCCTCTCAAAATGGCTGCTGCCTCTCCAAAATGGCTGGCCCCTCTCTGCTGGTTCCTGACAGTCAGCTGTTCAGCGCTGATGCTGGCCTTCTTCCAGCAAACCCTCCCTCTCTCCCAGTGAAAGGAACCAAAAGCGGCAAAACAAACTCTCCCCATGATGCAGCCAAAGCAGAATAACGCATGCAGAAGAGGGGGTAGTCTTATACAGCAAGTATATAACAAACTCTACATTTTGAGTGGAAATGTTGGGGGGGGGTTGTCTTATATGCCCAGTCGCCTTATACGGCGGCAAAGACTGTAGTTCTGATTAATTAGTTTAGCTTTAATAACTAAGCTATTATTTTTTGTCATATTTTGTAACAACAACCCTATCTGAAAGGTAGACGCTACTGGTGTGTAGTACAAAATAGGCTTTCTCCCTATTCACCTTGACATTGATTCAATACCCACAAGGCATTGCAAAAAACAACACTTTATGTGATATCCTTTCTTTCTTCAGCATTTTCACAAGGCTGCACCCCATAATTACAAAAGTAATGTAATGTATTTATGGCTTCGTTATTAGGAAATGTAATTAATAATCAGCTAGTTATTTCTAATTCGTTTCTTCCAACTTCTGCTCATCTGCTTTTGTGCGGTTCCTCTCCATGACTGGTATGCCCAAGACTGTGACATGAACTGAAATCAAATAGGTCTAATCCAGAATATTGTTCCTGTTAAGGCACAGTCTTATGCTGCAAAGATAGGATGTTAGTGTTGTGGATCCCCATTGTCTGTGGAGAAAGATGGAGAGGAAAAGAGAAAGAGAAAGAGAATGAGCAAGCAAGACTGAGAGTGCAAAAGTATTATATTTTAAAAATTGAAATGCATATACTAGGAAAAATATTTCTGGTTGGTGTTTTACTATTGATTAAACATTGCAGCTTCTGTTATAATTATACAAGAGATAATTTACATGCTGAAAGCATCATCCGTTCCTTTATTCTTTTTCAAGATCTTAAACTTATTAATACAGCACAGGGCAAGAAAAATGAGAAAAAAATGCTGCCACACCTTAAATCATGGCATTACTTTTCTCACCCATTTCATTAGAAACTGAAATTTATTACTCTTCTAAAATGCCAGCATACTCTGTCTTGCTCTTTATGCACCCAACAGATGTGAATCGATCAGATTTAAGTCCCATTCTCTTACTCTGTCCTTGAGTTTAACTCGGAGCTCAATGTCTTTCTCTTTTTTTCTGTTTCTTTGCAGGAGTTGTGGTACTTTAACAGCTGAAACTGTCCTTAGGGCAAGAGCAGATCAAGTGAGCTAAGCCGTTATTATATTCAGGTTTGATTGCTGCGTTTCCAACTCATCTCTTCCTTTTCCTTTCTGCTGAAAAGCTGTGCCAGGAGCCAGGCTTACGGAAAAGTTTTTGCAGGCGAGAAAAAGGAAGGGGATCTCATCTCAAACCAGTCCACCATTTATTGTTCAATGACAAGTAGAAAATTTCATCTGTGTGAGAAGGACTTTATCGGTTGGTAGGTAAGTAGGACTATATTCCAAATGCATTAAGATTTTCAAAACTCGTCGGCTAGGAAAATGCCTCACCCGCAAAATGTAGCAGGTGGCCATGTCAAGTTTCATAAGAAAGCTGATTGTGCCGAGATACTCTTTTGCCATTCTATCTGCACAAAACTAAATATATGTCTTTCTTCTGAAGTTTGAAAGTGGTATGTTTCTTCATCTAGTCCAGCTTATAGAAAATAGATGGCGGATTTCACTGTATTGCCCACATGACTTTTCTGCGTCTGTCTGGTGAAAAAAGGCATAAAATGGAACACTCAGGTCTGTCATTGATTTGTTGCCAGAGTAATCTGCTTTATTCAAGTCACAGTCCAGCTGTTTCTCCGCAATCAGGTTATTTCACCATTTCTCTTTTCCCCCAAGCTGGCTATGCATTATGAACAAGTCAAATGTGTTAGTTCGGTTTTGATTTTTATACCTCTTTTCAATCGATATCTTGGCAATTGATCCTTGAAAATTTAAGAGCCAGTGGACTGTGTAACTGAAATTGATAAAAGAGAAGTTCAAGGGTTATGATAGAAATGAGCAGGGATTTTGAGGATTATTAGCAGAGTATTAAGTTGCCATATCAAGTCTACTTATTTGAATAATTTTAGCAGACACAGCTGCAACCGTCATTAAATTACACCCTGTGGATTGAGCTCCTGAAAACTGGAGTGGTTAGCAGAGTGCATTTTCCCCTTTGGAAAGACATTGCAGCCACTCTTCTTACACTAAGTACATAAGTTATTGTTTATCAAAGAAATGTACAAGGACAGTAAAGATAATGCGAATCATGGTCGCAGCGAACGAGGGTGGTAGATGAAAGGAGCCATTAGCTCTCAAGAGCAGAGGCAAGCTGTTTCCTCTGTCCTCTCACAGAGAGGTTCAGGGAGGAAATGTGAGGGGAAAAAAGGAAGTGACACCAACAGCCTTAATCCAGTTTGAAGGAAGTTCAACAAAAGTCAGAGCAGGAAAAGATGGCTTAGAAAGCCTTAGAAGTTTCCTCTCACTCTGCTCCTCCCAATGCAAAGACATGCAAAGTGCTTATTTTGACATATAAAGCCCTAAACGGCTTGGGCCCTGGATACCTGAAGGACCGCCTCCTTCCATATGAACCTACCCGGCAGTTAAGATCTAACCAGGGGGCCCTTTTGAAAGAGCCGTTCCTTAAGGAGATAAGAGGGAGGGCTTGTAGAGAAAGGGCCTTTTCAGCAGCTGCCCCCAGACTATGGAATGCCCTCCCAATTGAGATTCGTCTGGCGCCGACGGTGATGACATTTCGGCGCCAGGTCAAAACCTTCCTGTTCCAAATGGCTTTTAACTGAAATAATATCAGCTGTAGGTCTGATGGCAATTTTTAGAATATATATTTTAATTGCATTTTAATTATTTTGCCCTTTTATTTTGCCTTTTTATTGTATTTTAAATGCTGTAAGCCGCCCAGAGACCTTCGGGTAGTGTGGGCGGCATATAAGATAAATAAATTAAAAAAATAAAAAATAAATAAATATTCTTCTACCATGAATTATCAGCAGTTCAAGACTTACTAAGGGACCACTTTAGCCAGTACAAAGACAGGCATGTTCTTCTACCATGAATTATCAGCAGTTTAAGACTTACTAAGGGACCACTTTAGCCAGTTGTGGCAAGGAGGGGCTGGGCTTTCCTCCTGCTTTTCCTGAAACTGGCCAATCGGAGTGGCCAACGGGCACGGCTAGTCTCCAGGTACACCAGAGTGAAGTGGTTTTTCACTCACACCTGCTTGGGGAGCCTAAAAGCAGCACCAGGAAGTCATTCTCTGTGAATTTTCTCACACCCATCCTCCCTTGGTGTGGGGGAATGTTTTTTTTATATATAGACTTAAATAAACTCATTTAGAGACAAAAATTATCCCATATGCCCTCAGGTCCACTGGAGAGGGTCCCTTCACTGTGTAGGCCTCCCCTTTCCACATGGATCCATTCTCATGTCTAAAACATTCTTCCACAAGTATATATACTTCTGTACCATTTCTAAAGCTTTTGTGGAAGAAAAGAAATCATTGCCTGGTGAGCTACTGTCTAAAAGCAGAGTGCTTCTCAATCTGAGTCCGCCTGTTTGCCTGAGCAGTGCATGCATTCATCAGCTAAATCATATGTTTAAGCAATTCTGACCTGTTTATTCTGTACATGGTAATAGGGCCAGAGTTCAGGAAAGAATTTTAGCAATTTGGATCAACTGGAAACTAGAAGTCTAACAAATAAGATAAAGGTTAACTCAGACGCAGCTGCTTTGGCTTGAGAGATTCTTTCCTTTATTATTGTTACTGCAATGGTATATGGGGAGGAATGATATAGTAAGGATAAGCACTGATAGGTTTTCATCACCAGTACTAATTATAATGGCAATAATAAACTCAATGGGGAAATTTGGAACCCTGCACAATAAAATAGAAAGAAAGGCGATGGCTGAAAAAGGTGAAGGTATCTCAAATGGCTAAAGTTCATACAGAGCGAAGAAGTAACTTTTTCCCCTATCTGTAGACAGACAGATTTGATTTTTATAGTTCTTTCTACTCAACAGAGATCAAAAATAACTACTATTGCCTGTAGTTGTTCCGCAAAAAAGGTCAAGAAAAGCCAACTGTGGTAAGTTAGATTTGTTCCCCATGGCAAACGCTTCATGTTGTCAGGAGCACACAGCATCTCACACCTCCTTTAAATGTGATAGAATTAACTGGCTATTCCAAAGGCCTGACTTTGGCTTCAAATGTATGACTTATCATCCACATGTGGGTCCTGGCAATGGCCCTTGGAGAGCATTTTGTAAATTAGAGCACTAAAGTTCCTGTGCTTTAGAGAAAGATAACTAAACCAGATATTGCTGATCTACATTTAAGCACAAGGTCCACACGCGTTTAGCTGAATATCTTTAGTTTGCTTCAAGCTAAGCAGTCCAGAAAACCTGCTTCATGATTCCAGGCTGTTGCTTCTTCACAAACCCTTCCTTGCTACTTGATTGAACTTCCAGTTTAAGAAGACAAGGGGGAGTTTCAGACTTGAGTCCATTTTTTTCTGACAAGAATTGTCTGCAGTTTGGGTCAACTGACTGGCAGGCAACATAGTCCATAATGGTTGAGTATTAATATAAACAGTTAAATAAATCATGTCCTGCTTGTCCATTGTCCATACCAAAGCCATAACTCTCATAAACTGTAGGATATACACAGTTTTCAGAACATGTGTAAGACTTTTGTGCATTTCTGAGATTACCATAAAGCACAGCTAAGAGCTCAGGGAGGAGTGACACCTCTCACAGATGTCTCATATGAAATCTGATATCTGTGTGGTTTTAATTAGTATTAAAAAGATACTAAAATGTCATTTGATTAGGAGTGAAGAAAAGAGAACTGAAAGTATCTGTATTTTTTAATGAAGAAGCTGAGTGAGCACTAAGGGAAGAGACCTATGTCAATGAAGACGACAACTGACTTGTTTACACACCCTAGGGAAGTCCAAGATCTGTTTTGCATATCCCAATTCCTGAGGGTCTCAGAGTGAGGTCACCAGGCAGAAGTGGTTGCTATCCCNAAAAAAAAAGTAGCTGTAGTGCAAAGTGAGTGTAACGTGGCTCAGCACTCTGATGTCACTGCCTACTCAAGGCCTCTCAGAATGCCCACCATGCCACTACACACTCTTGCTGCCACCAACCTTTCTTTTAAATAAAAAGGACAAGGGTTTCTTTCAAAACAAAACACTTGGTTTATTGATTACAAATTAAAAATAGGTAAATCACAGGAAGATAATCACGATGTAAATCACTTTCTTCAATTAATTAAACATAGACTTTCCCTCACTGACAACTCAGGCACACAGGCCTCTAAACAAGCTCTTTCTCTCTCACACTCTCTAACTCAATCTATCTGTCCACACACACTCTTCACCCCCCTTTTTATAGCAGCTCCTCCCCTTCAGTTCCACCCTCCGTCACACCATTGGCTGATGATTCACTGCCCAGCTGTGACGGACAGGTGAGGTCAGGGCTGCCCGTTATAGTGAGGGACCTCCATTGATATAGCACATTGCCTAGGCTTTGCATTGTTAATTTTCTTTCCTCCCCCCTACTTCCCCCCACAAGCTATTTGGATTAGTGGAACTCCCTCCCACCTACCCTCGGTGTGTGCGTGTGTGTGTGTGGGAGGGTTGTGTGGTTTCACTGCTGAAGTTCATAATAGCTGTTTCTTTCCTCTTCTTGTTTCTTCTGGAAAAGTTTTTCTTTTCTTTTCTTTTCTTTTCTTTTCTTTTCTTTTCTTTCTTTCTTTCTTTCTTTCTTTCTTTCTTTCTTTCTTTTTGCAGGGTATGTGTTGTAGTTCAAAAACACAACTTTTCCAAACTCTGAATAAAAGTTCAGAGGGTTCTTCCTTGGCTGATATTAGCTTGCCACCAGCTAATCCCGATTTGTCCAGCAGGATGATGACTGGTTGCTCACCCACTTCTGTGCTGTTTGTGAAATCAGTAGCTTGCAGTATAGCCTACAGACAGGGAAATCTACTATGCAATTTGGCACGCAATGTTTCTCCAGCTAGATTTTAGTCATAGTCCTTCATATATAAAACATACTGCATTGTGTATAAAATGCATTTTAGCCCAAAATGCAGGCAAATTTGCATATTTTTTAAAAAAAATGTTCAAAAATGCACATCAAATCAGATTGATGTAGAAACAGTGTGTCATTCCTGTATGGACATATGCAAAACAGACATGGCTTGGAAAAAGACAGACTCAGCATAAGGCAGCTTGCTTAGTTTGGAAAGCTACTTTTGTACAGTGATTACCTGGCTAACGGTAGAGAAAATCCAGACGGAAGTGCTCTACCTCTTGTAGTGGCATTCATATAAATGAGGATGAGAAATTCCAGAATACAGTAAGACAGTGAAAGGGAGGTACTGTTCTCTTTTTAAAACAACAGATTTAAACATCTTTCTCAGATCTCCCATT